CCCCCCCCCCCCCCCCGTCCTCTCATTTCCCCCTTCCCCTCCCCCCGCTTTCATTTCCTCTTCCTCCCTCCAGCCCCCCGCCCCGCCCTCGCATCCCTCCCCGCCGGGCCCGCGCACCCCACGCCCCGTCCGCTCACCCGCAGCACCGCCCACCCAGGCCCACAGCTCCCACGAGGCATCGCGAGAACGACGTAAAAAGGGGAACGCGAGACGTTCCAGTTACTTCCGGCCGCCAGGAAACGTCCCTCCGGAAGTGCTTCTTTTTTAAATTAGGATTGCTAGCGGTCTTCAAGCCGGAAATAGGAACAACTGAAACACAGCTCCGACGGAAACGGGGGAGGCTGGGAAGTCGGAGCGCCGGTCCCAGGAGCCCGAGCGCGGGCCGGAAGTAGCCCCTCGGCGGGCTCCGCGCGCACGCAGTCCCAGGCGCGCCGCTCTCCCGCCTCTGGCTTTCCTTCCCGTCTCTTGCCCTGTTTCTGTCGTGCAAACAGAACCGGCAGCTTTCCTGTGCGGCTCATCGGAACCGAGCTTCCAGGGAGCGAAGCCCAAGTTCCAGGCACCGCCTGCAACCCCTCGCCCTGACATCCCACATGCCGGCCCGCTCCCTGCGCAGGGATCCTGGGAACTGATTTAAGGCCTCGGTTCCGGCCCAGCTACGAACCCGACGCCCGCTCAGAACCCACTGCTCCGTTCCCGCCTCTGATCTGGGGGAAAGAAAACGGGGTCGGCCGGGACTTGACCCTCCCCTGCAGCCTGTCCCTTTGTAAAGCAGCCCAATGAACCCCTCCCTGGCAGCCGGAGCAGACCAGCATTCTGAGACCAGAGCAGGATATGTCTGAGCAGCCTTAAGTCAGGCACGATAGAATGTGTGGTTCTTTCAAGGCTGTTGAGATATTACTTTGAAGCGTTAAGTGCAATGATAAATGCTAGTCATCCCGCCTTGGATAATGTGTGGGGATATTGATAGAGGGGAGGGAGTGGGTACGTGTGGGATTGGGGGTATATGAGAACTCTATGCTCTGTTTTGCTGTGAACCTAAAACTGCTCTGAAAAATAAGTTTAATAGCTTAAAAAACAATAGTTACAACAGGAAGTAGGATAACCACCATTATTGAGCCCCTACTAGGTGCCAGTGGTAAAGCTAGGATTTGAACTTTGCTGTATCTGCTTCCTAAGCCCATAGTGAAGAAAATGCATTTTAAAAAAATGCTGCATCAGATTATCTGGCCAGAAGTCCGGCATATTAGAAAATTCACTTATCAATGCCATTAGGAACCCTGATTTCTGTATCAGCCCTTTACTGGTTCCTTGGTGAAAAACAACACATGTCATTTGTCTTATTTACAATTCCTTGATTTGTAAAGGAAGATACCAGACCAGAGTAATGAATCTCAAACTTAAAGGTGCCCACGAGTCACCTGGTGATCTGGTTCAGATGCAGCTTCTGCTTCAAGATGTCTGGGTGAGGTCTGAGATTCTGCATTTCTGACAAGTCCCCCCAACCCCGTACCCCCCCCCCCACCCCAAGGTGAAGTCCCTGTTGACCTAGGGGTAGCAAAGTCCTGGATCGCCTGTGAGATCTTTGCAAACTCTGATATTCTTACCCTGGATTATGCTTCAGAATTCCATTAAATAACAGTTAACCTTTAAGTCACTATAGGAAGCTTGTGCTTGGACACAGTCTCCAGCACTACCTCATGATGGCCACTAGAGGGACTAGAACCAAAGAAATCATTGAGCTCCTAGGTTCAGTATTTACTTTCCTAGATTACTGCTCAGTACTCCTATTTAAAAAACAAAAAACACCCTGCCCAAACTCAGTGCCAAAGGAACTATCAATAACAGTGGTAATAAGAAAAATAATTTGAAACTTCACATTCTTTCCCCATGATGGAAGTCCTGAGAGGCAGTGAACATAAGTCAGGCAAGGATCTGGGACACCAGCCACTGCTTATGTTGGCAAGAGAATGAGATCTTTCGGTTTTATGAAGCCTGGTGCTATGATGTGTGGTCTGTAGTAAAAATAATTATAGGCATGAAGAAGTGAAGGTTTCCAGAGACCTCCCCTCACCCTCATATGAGTTGCGCTCATATTTCAGCACTGCTGCACTGGGGACTTGCTCCTGAAAACATGTTTCAATGTAGCTTCTTATAAGAGTTTACCATTGCGATTACAAAAACATAAGAAATATTGGATTTGAATATCAATCTAACTACTAAATACAGTGACAAACTGGAAAAAACTAAAAATGAAAAACAAAAAAACTTATTTTAACACATATTTCTTATTTTATGCATTTTAAATACTTCTAAAAATCTAAATCTTGACCCGGCTAGTGTGGCTCAGTGGTTGAGTATCGACTTATGAACCAGGAGGTCAGGGTTTGATTCCTGGTCAGGGCACATGCTGGGTTTGTGGGCTCAATCCCCAATAGGGGTGTGCAGGAGGCAGCCAATCAGTGATTCTCTCTCATCATTGATGTATC